AAGAAAAAGAAGAAAAGAATACTTCGTCACCCAGGTGTGATCACACATTCCTTTAATCCTAGCAGAGGCAAAGGAAGGTGGATTTCTGTGAAAGCATAGCATGTTCCAGGCCAGCCAGGGCTACACAGTGACACTGTGTGTGTGTGTGTGTGTGTGTGTGTGTGTGTGTGTGTGTGTGTGTGTGTTGTGCCCAAGTTGCAAAGTCCCCAGAAACCACCAGAAAGACCCACCAAACTGCAAAAGCAAGGTTTAATGATTGTTCATCCAACCATGACAGGGAGCCCATCTAGCAAGCTGACCCAGCAGCCTCCAGAGGGAGTGAAGTTCCCTGTCTACTGCTAGGTTTTAAAGACAAAAATTACAGGTTTACACCAGTAGGTACCGGTTGGTTTTTGATTGGTTGGCATTGGGGGAGCAATCAAATTTTTCAAAGTCATGTTTTTGGTGTGTTACCTGTGTACCCATTATTCTCATTGGTCAGTGCTGAGGGAACATTCTGTGGTTTCTATGGCATTGTCTTGTTACTTTCCACCTGTTGTACATAGATACTAATAGTTTTCAGAACTATATCCTGGAGACTACAAGGGAGGTTTTGGTCCCCCCTGTAGTTTCTTTTGTGGCCAAACAGTTCCCAGGAACTAAGCATCTAGGAGGCTGGGGGTAAGGGCATCTGGAGTTTCTTTGTGTTCAGTTTTGGCCCTAGGCTCTGGAAGGCCAGAGCATCTGGAGTTTCCTTGTGTCAGAGGCCCACGGGTCTTTTCTGTAGCATGTCATGGCTGCTAAAGCAGGGACTGAGTGAGGGCCTGGTCCCTTTATTTCTAAATGATTAGGAGTGAATCCCTTGAGTTTAGTTTACCCCTTTCAATAAGGACTTTGTTTTTACATCTATGGCCAGAGCCCTGACTAGGGTAGGGTTGGGAGTTGCTCACAGGGCCCTATTCAAATGCCACAGGACTGCCAGGGCCTTGCAGAGCCACTTCAAGATGCCACAGTACTCACCATTAGGTGTGAGAGACAGGTCAAGGGTGTCCTTTAGCTGAGATCATCCGTGTATCTCAGGGGTTTGTGTGGGTGACTACTGTGTGGCAGCCAGGGGACGCATTTCTCCAAGGCCTGAGCAAGGGAAGAGTGACTCCAAGCTCACACAAGGTCCTCGTGTGTCCTTACCGCATACTGGCACCGCACTAGTGTGCTGTTGGCTCTCAGGGGAGACATCCTTCTGGAGTGGACAAGATTCAGGGTATCTTCTGCTTCTCGTGCATCCCTGTGAAAACCTGGGCCCAGTGAGTGCCCTCGCCATGGGGACACAGCACAGCTGGTGAGGACCTTTGGCAAAGTGCATCATTAAGTCACTGGAATTAGGAATTTTACAACAGAACTCTAATTCAAGGCAAGTCTGGTTTTTTGGGGGGGGGGTTATTGTTGTTTTGTTTTTGGTTTTTTGGTTTTTCAAGACAGGGTTTCTCTGTGGCTTTGGAGGCTGTCCTGGAACTAGCTCTTGTAGATCAGGCTGGTCTCGAACTCACAGAGATCCACCTGCCTCTGCCTCCCGAGTGCTGGGATTAAAGGCATGCACCACCAACGCCCGGCTGTTGTTATTTTTTGAGACAGGGTTTCTCTGGCTGTCCCAGAACTCACTCTGTAGACCAGGCTGGCCTTGAACTCACAGAGATCCCTCAAGGCAAGTCTGGACATGCCCAGTCAGCCTCAGGGAAACAGGGAAACAGAACTGTCCCACGCTAGACTCCTTAGCTGCCAGTGCCATGTGTGACTCTCGGCTCTCATTGGCCTGCCTGCAGCTGGCCTCCCGCTAACAGCCTCCTCAGCAGCTACCAGACAGCAACTTGTGTGAAGACAAAGGAGTCTTGGCGCTGGGCTAGGACAAGATGAAATGTCACTGGGAGGGGGACAGACCTCATCTTGGATCCAGTGGCAGCAGCAAAGGCAAGAGACCTCCGAAAGACACTGCAGTCTGTATGAAGTGACTGACGCCGGAGCAGAAGACTGCTCTCTTAGAAGTGGAGGCGTGAGCTGTATGTGTGCTCCAGCGGCTGCAGCTGCGTGAGATCACCCCAAACAACACCCATTTTACTCCTAGGCGCTGTGCGTGAAGATTGGAAGTCCCCCAGTCTGTGCCCCACCCACAAGACTCCCCAAGTCTGATGTGCCTCTGGAGTGGACTGGAGCTACCAGAAGCTATCAAAGTACGGAGTAACTGCCCAGTTTACCTTTCCGAGACTCTTGCCTCGAGGGACTCGCCTCACTGTATCTGACACTCACAAGCTCTGTGTCATTGTTTGTATGATTCACTGCTGCCTGTGGCCTCTCCTCGCTCATTTAGTCCATAAGTAGATTTTTCATTCTCAGTTCCACCATCACAGTAGGCTCTAGACTTCTAGCAGGAGGGGCCCTTGGTTGCCAAGTCCTCTTCCTGCAGCAGCAGCCTCCCCAGCCTTGCCTTCCTGTGATCCCACAGCTTGGGTTCTTGTAATCCCACAGGACAAGCCAAAGGCCCTGCTAAACTGTGGTCTGTGATGCTAAATGTAGATTTCAGTCTTCCCCAACATGAATAAAACATGTGCTGAGCGGCAGCCACCCCCATTTTCCACCCCCCCCCCCGTGTTATTAAAGTCATAAAGCACTTCTGAGGTTCAATTGACCCGGGCAGACTCTCCAGGGACCAGCATCGCCCAGCCTGCGGGCGTCTTGAAACAGCCCACAGGTTCTTTCCATAAACCAAGCTTCTGTCTCAACCCTAGGAATCGCCTCCCCAGCCAACCTTCACCCTGATCTCTGACTCTGGAGATCCAGTGCCTGTGCTGCCTTTGTCTTCAGGGGCTCCCAGGCTGGGGTCCCCTCCTTCCTTGTTATGCTTCACAATCCACTTGGCTCAAGCTGAAGCTATTCAGCAGGAAGAACAAGTGTTACAGAGCAGAGTGGGCACAAGGGGAGTCGGCTCTACCACCGCCTGGTTTTTGTTTTTGTGTTTTTCGAGACAGGGTTTCCTCTGTGTAGCTTTGTAGACCAGGCTAGCCTCGAACTCAGAGATCCGCCTGCCTTTACCTCCCCAGTGCTGAGATTAAAGGCGTGTGCCACCACTGCCTGGCTCACTGACTGTGTTTTATCTTTTTATTTTATCTGAATCAAGTGCTTTCCTGCCTGCCAAGGTGTTTCTGCTCTGGCAAGGCCACAGGACCTTCTGGTGGCTGTCTTTAGAACAGTAAGGGTCTTGAATGAGTTACCATTCACTAGAGGTAATTCCTCCCTCCCTTCCTCCGTCCCTCCGTCCTCCATCTATCCTTCCTTCCTTCCCTCTCTCCCTCCTCCCTCCCCTCCCTGGTTTTTTTCGAGACAGGGTTTCTCTCTGTAGCTTTGGAGCCTGTCCTGGAACTCTCTCTGTGGACCAGGCTGGTCTTTTTTTGGGGGGGGGGGTTCGAGACAGGGTTTCTCTGTGGCTTTGGAGGCTGTCCTGGAACTAGCTTGGTAGTCCAGGCTGGCCTTGAACTCACAGAGATCCGCCTGCCTCTGCCTCCCGAGTGCTGGGATTAAAGGCGTGCGCCACCAACGCCCGGCCAGGCTGGTCTTAAACTCCCGGAGATCCTCTCGCCTCTACTTCCCGGATGCTGGAAATAAAGGCGTGCGCCACCCCAGCACGGCTCATTGCCGGTGTTTTATTTTTTCCGAATCAGATGCTTTCCTGCCTGCCAAGGTGTTTCTGCTCTGCCATGGCCACAGCACCATCTGGTGGCTGTCTTTGGAACAGCACTGCCCGGCACTAGAGGCAATTTCTAAAGAAAACATTGAAAGCTTGTGGCTCAGGACTCCTTCTTGCTTTACTCCTGCGTCTTCTTCACTCTCAGGTCATGGTTTTAATTATGTATTCCTGTGACCTTGTTTAAAAAACAAAAACTAGCCGGGCCATGGTGGCGCACACCTTTAATCCCAGCACTCGGGAGGCAGAGACAGGCAGATCTCTGTAAGTTCGAGACCAGCCTGGACTACCAAGCGAGTTCCAGGACAGCCTCCAAAGCCACAGAGAAACCCTGTCTCAAAAAAACAAACAAACAAAAAAACTAGGCCTGGCAGTGGAGGTGCACGCCTTTAATCCCAGCACCCAGGAAGCTGAGTCGGGAGGATCTCTGTGAATTTGAAGCCAGCCTGATCTACAGAGTGAGCTCCAGGACAGCCAGAACTGTTACACAGAGAAACCCTGTCTCGAAAAACCAAGACTAATCAAACAAGCAAACAACAACAAAACAAGCCTCTCACAGGTGTGCCCAGTCATTTGGGTTTAGTTGATCCCCGATGTGTCAACTTGACAACCAAGATCATGCTTGTTCAAGTAAAGGCAACCACTGAGTCCCAAGCTATGCATTTTGAGAAACATCCCTCAGGGAGCAAGGCTACTCCAGTGTTTTTAATGGAAAGACTCAGCTAATTTTGTTTTCTCTCATTAGAAGACATCACAAAATGATATTTTATTCATTGAGTCTTGTATTTATTTCACTGGGAGGAAGGCATGCCCCCATCAGTGTGTGTGAGAGAGAGAGAGAGAGAGACAGACAGACAGAGAGAGAGAGAGAGACAGAGACACCATCACAGCTTTGTCATGGAGACTGCTGCAGGGTGGTGGGGGCTGGTGCAGTGGCAGTCCTGAAAGTTCTGCCCCAGTCTGACGCTCCATGGGTAACAATGGCCGTAGAGCCAGCACGGCTACAGAGCTGAGCAGACTCAAATGGGTCTTTGGTGTTTCCATGCATTTATTATCGAGAAGCAGGGACTGGGCGCTGGAGAGATGGCTCTGCGGTTAAGAGCACTGGCTGCTCTTCCAGACAGAGGTCCTGAGTTCAATTCCCAGCAAGCACACTTGGTAGCTCACAACCATCTGTAATGAGACTTGGTGCCCTCTTCTGGCAAGCAAGCATACATACACTGTATATACATAATAAACAAACAAATAAATAAATGAAAAACACGGACTGGACAAGGTACTTCCTCATCGATCAGCAGTTTTTATTTAATTGTCGCAATTGGACAGCAAGCCTATGATTTGTCCTCAGAAGCTTCATGCTGTGGAACTCAAGTTCACATTGACAACAAGCAGCAGACATCTCTAATTCCTACAGATTTTCAGAGCCCAAATAAGGGAACAGTGTGTGCATGAGCAGTACTCTCTGCTCTTTGAAGTCCAGTTTTAGTTCCGTGTCGCACAAGTTCATGTTCATTCACTAAAGGACAGCAAAGATCAGAGAGAAAAGTCACATGAGCTTGAGCCTAAGCACTAATCACAGAACCCTTGTCCAGGCCCAGACGCTGTGGACCAGACTGCCTGATTCTTTCCTTCATTTAAACTGTGCCAGAAAGTCTCAAGTGTTAATCAAGCAGAAGCAGACCCAACAGGCGGACTTTCCTGGCAGGTACCATATTCTTAACCTTGGGAACCAGAGACCCCTGTGCACGGGTCGGTATTATGATGCCTAACAGCAAAGTATGTACTCAGCTCCACATGGCACCCATGGTGTACACAGCCTGTGCATACAGTCATTCTGTTGACTCCCAGTAGCTCCCGTTCTCCATATCCCTTGTTCTGTGAGCTTCTGCTCTCTGGCTCCACTAAGGGCCAGTAGAAAGTAAAGGAGATGGGAAGGAGAGAAGTTAGCAGCCCCTTTCCGCTTGGCAGTTGTAATGGTCCCCTTATTGATAGACACCACAGACAGAGAGACAGAGAGACAAAGACAGGAACAGACACAGACAGAGACAGAGTGAGACAGAGCTATGAGACACAGACAGAGACAGAACAGACAGATATAACACACATGCACAGATACAGACACACACTCTTGTAGGCCTGACGTGAAGACGGGTTCTGCTCTCGCTCCTGGCACTTTCAACACCAGCTTCCTGGCTTGCAGGTTTCTGGTCCCTCCAGGTGGGATCAGCAGGCCTTTATCATTGTGTATGTTCACACCCTTAGGGCTCAGTGCCTGGTCCAGGAACCGCCACACCCCTCCCCAAGTCGGCTCCAGCTATCTTCTCCACTTTATCAACTGCATGTGACACTAACTACAGGAAGCCACTATGCCCTCTGTTGGTGGGATTGGGTTTTGCATGCAAATGACCCCCCCCCACACACACACACACTCACAGCTTCAGTAGGTGGGGGTTGTTGGGGTGGGCAACTTACCACCGGCAGGCACAAGGCCAGGAGTCCGGTTCTCTTCGTGCAGTGGGGAGAGCTGTTCTCGCTCAGTGGGAGGCAGCACAGGCTCCAGCACTCTGAGTGGCTGCGGCATTTGTCCCCTTCTTGCTGGAGAGAGATGGCCAAGTATCGTCTAGCCCCCGAGAGGTCTTTCGTTCTTTCCCTCTTCTCACCAGGGACCCGCCCCCATGGGGACACCCATGGTCCATGCTCACCTTGCGCCAAGATACACACTGCAGGAAGACAGACTTTGCTGAGCAGTACCTGTTTGGGCTGTCGCCGGTCCTGATGCAGCATCTGCTGTAGCACTCTCCGTGCTCTTCACAGAGGTGCCCATTTGGCTGTGAGGGAACAGTGGACCAGCATTCTCTGCTTCCAGGGAACCCCCTTCCCTCCACCACCCTTGAGAACCTCCCTATCCCCCACCCAGGGGTCACTTCCTCTAGCTCATCCAAAAGCAGGTGGCAGTGGGGTCAGAAGGTGTCCCCTGCTGGCTTCTTTCCCTCCCTGGGTGTCACTAGGGGCCCCAGTCACCTTCCTCCAGGGCACACATTGCAAGAACACAGTCTGGCGGGTGCAGAATTTCTGTGGGCTCAAGCTGTTAGTGACACAGCAGTCACTCTGACACTCAGAATTGAATCCACACGGCTCTCCGATCCCCTGAAACAATCAGATTCTGTTTACCTGGCCCAGGGCAGTTCGGCAGACCCAGCCCCAGACGAGCTTCTCCGTTCAGATACCTCCCGTACCCACTCTGGCTTTCTTGAGTCAACCTCCCTCCCTCCGACTCTAAGCATGTTGTCTGGCCTGGAGAAGGGGAAGACAGATGGCAGCAGGGGAAGATGAGGACTGGGGACAGTGCAGGAGAGCACCGAGCCTAGCAGGAGTGGCGGACACCTTTGACCCCAGCATCCTCAGAGGCAGGCAAACCTCTTAGTTCAAGGCCAACCTCGGTCTACAGAGAGCATACCAGGACAGCTAAGACTACACAGAGAAACCTGGTCTCAGGAAAACCAACTCCCCCACAAAGTGTCTGTTATAGGCCAGGTGCGCAGAAGGCAAGCTGAGACAAAGGCTGTAGACCACGTGGCAGAGCAGGAAGGCGTGGGCAGGAAGGCCTGTGTGGTCTGAGCGGCTCACCTCAGAGGCCAGACGGAGAAACTGATTCCCAGAGACAATCACACAGGGTCACACAGGTAGCTCATCAGGGGCTAGCAAAGGGAGACCAGGGGTGTTCCACCCAGATCACCTTCGTCTTGCTTTTTAAAAAGAAAAGCAGCATTCTGGCTGTTGGTTAAAGGCAGGGTAACCGCTAAGCAGACAGCAGCTAGAGGTCAGTGAGGAGCCACACTAGGGAACACAGGAGAGAAGGCAAAGGAGAGGAGGGGAGGGGAGGGGAGGGGAGGGAGGGGTGAGGAGAGTGGAGGAAAGGGGAGGGGAGGAGAGAGGAGAGAAGAGGTGGGGAGAGGAGAGGAGAGGGGAGAGGAGAGGAGAGGAGAGGGGAAGGGAGAGGGGAGGGGAGGGGAGAGAAGAGGAGAGGAGAGGAGAGGAGAGGAGAGGAGAGGAGAGGGGAGGAGAGGGGAGGGGAGGGGAGAGGAGAGGAGAGGAGAGGAGAGGAGGGGAGGGGAGAGGAGAGGAGAGGAGAGGAGAGGAGGAGAGGAATCACATCCACGGGACCCAGTGTTGGGTGATTTGGGGACACACAAAGGCAAACAGAGATGTCACATTGCACAGAAAGGAACCGTAGGAGACCCTAGGAGAGTCCTTGTGTCTTGCCTTCCGGAGCATTCTCCCTATCTGCAGTGTTCTCAAGCTCCTCCCCACTGCGCCTGCCCGTATGATCCAGGCCCTTATCTGCTGCATCAAGACCCTGGGCTTCCCCACCCTGCCACAGGCCTCTGTGGACGTGATTCCAGACTTCTATCTAACAAGCAATCAGTGGGAAGGCATGGCCTGAGCTCACCTTGTGGGCTAAAAGCGGCCTTGTCTTCTTATTCTGGAACATGGATACAGCCCAGGGCAGCAGCAGCAGCTTCCACACCATGATGCCAGACATCACGGGTTAGGCCTGTCAGGGTTTTATGGAATAGTTTCTGCCCTTGGTTTCCAGCAAACTATCCCCTTCCCTCCCCAGTACTTTCTCTTACAAAGTAGCTTTTATAAATAATTAAATGTATTTTTATGAGTAGTTTTGGGTTTACAGGAAAAATGTGCATAAGGCCTGGGACTGTGTGTCAGTCAGTAGACTGATTGCCTAGCGTGTACCATGCCCTCAGTTTGATCCCCAGCCGTATATAAACGTGACACGATGGTGCATGACTGTACTCCCCACACTGGGCAGTGGAGGCATGCTGATCAGAAGCTCAGGGTATTGTTACTCACAGAGCAACTTCCAGGTCATCTCATCATGCTGATCAGAAGAAGCTCAGGGTATTGTTACTCACAGAGCAACTTCGAGGTCATCTTGGACTATGTGAGACTCTCTCTCTCTCAAAACAAACAAACAAACAAACAAACAAACAAACGCCTGTATGCTACACATTTTTAATTGCACCACTCGGGATGTAACAGCAGGAGGATCTCTATGCATTTCAGACCAGCCAGAGCTACATAGTGAGCCTCAGCCTCGGAATAAACAAACAAGCAAATAAATAATGGCTAGAGAGATGGCTTGGTGGTTAAAAGCACTTCTTGCTCTTGCAGAGGACAAAGTTCAATTCCCAATACCCACATGGTAGCTCACAATCATTTTTAAGTCCAGTTCCAGGGGATCCAACACTCTTCATTCACCTCCTCAGGTACCATAGGAACACACACACATTCTGTCACACATGCATAAAATAAAAATAAATGGCTGGGCAGGGATGGCACACGCCTTTAGTCCCAGCACTTGGGACTGTGGATCTCTATGAGTTTGAGGCCAGCCTGGTCAACAGAGTGAGTTCCAGGACAGCTAGGGCTTCCTCTCTGCCCCTCTACCTCTGCCTCTTGGGTGCTGGGATTAAAGGCATGTGCTATCACTGCTCAGTCAGCTCACCACTTTCCCACTGAATGGAAGCGTGACTTTATCTTTAAAGATTTATTTGTGTGTGTGTGTGTGTGTGTGTGTGTGTGTGTGTACCTATGGGCAGATGCCCGAAGGCAACCTTGCTTCTCAGGACATAACCTTGTCTTTTGAGACAGGATCTCTCACTTGAACCTGGGCTGGCTCTGGCTCCCCAGCACCAGAATTACAAGAGAATGCTACCACACTGAGCTTTTCTATGTGGGTTCTAGGCATGGAATGCAGGTCCTCATGTTTGTGCATCAGACACCTCATTGATTAGGCTGTATCCCCAGCTTGGTCCTGAACTTTAAACAACCCTGCCTCCCCTTGAAGGGTTGTTCCAAACATTAATTAATTTTTTAAAAAGATTTATTTTATGAGGATGTATGTTTTCCCTATATGTATATGTGTATACCAACTGCATATATGCTTGGCATCTGTGGAGCCCCAGAAGAGGGCATGGAATTCCCTGGAATTGAAGTTAAGGATGGTTGTGAGTCACCATGTAGGTGCTAGGAACTGACAAGAACAGTTGGTGGCACACACCTTTAATCCCAGCACTCAGGAGGCAGAGGCAGGAGGATCTCTGTGAGTTCGAGGCCAGCCTGGTCTACAGAGGGAGTTCCAGGATAGGCTCCAAAGCAATACAGAGAAACCCTGTCTCGAAAAACCAATCAACCAACCAACCAAACAAACAAACAAAAAACCCACCAAAAAACAGTAACTGCTCTTAACTGCTGAGCCATCTCTTCAACCCCTTGTATTTGTTTGTTTTTAAGACAGACCCTCAGTGTGAGACACAGGGTGGCCTTGAGTGTATGATCATTCTGTCTCAGTCTCTCAAGTGCCGAGATTACAGTTCTGTGCCACCAGGAGTGGCTACCATCATTAATTTAAGCAGGTGTCTGCTGTTAAAATGGGGAGTTGGCCTGTAAGTCTGGGTACATTGGCCTTCAAGGTCCAGCTGGCTTTTCCCCAAGCTCCCATTGGCCTCTCTCAGAGGAGCCTTCTCTGACTGGCGATATAGAAACCCTGTTTGTAGCACATGAGTTTTGTTTTGTTTTGTGTAAGGGATACAACACCTTGGTTTGTGCACTTCTCCAACTCTCCTTAGGAGCTCATTCCATGTAATCAAGCCCTGTCCCTCTGTCTGACACACTCCTGGCACTCAGATGTTCACTTGGTATATGACCATTGTCTCTCCCTGCCATCCCTGTCCTCTCCTCACAGAGATGAGCCTGCTTTGCTTGGGGTGACTGGGCATGGCCTGGAAAAATGCCAGAATCCAGACAGTGGTCATCAAGCCACAGGACTTTTTTTTTTGTAAATGTAATTATGAGGAAGAGGTCATATTTCTCCTCTTATTAGAATGTTAAGGGAAAACTCTAATACACAACAGAGTATTAGAAGCAATAGAAAATTTAGAAAATTGCCAGACAAGATCAACTTAAAACCCATGTTAGCCATAAATAACAGATTCATAGAAACTAGCTCATCCTTAGCGTCACTGAATGACTGTTAAGATGAAGACAGGTGACAGTGCCCACCTGTCTTCATGGATAAGGACGTCAAGCCCTGGCCTCTGACCCCTCTCCTCGTGTGGTTTGTGCAGAGCGTTGACTGCTGCTGTGGAGAGTCGTGGAAGGCCCCACCGGGGCCTCACTGGCAGGCAAACCTCCCCTCAGCCTACACCTGGGTTATGTGTAGTCACTTAGGAGAACAAGGAAACATCCCATATGATATTTGCAGTAGATATAAGCACCAGGACTACAACCCTGGGCAGAGAGTTGGTGATGTGTGGAGGGAAACTACACCCAACTACCTGAATACTATCTGTATCTCCAGGTTGCAATAATGGTCATCAAGGAAGAACAGAGGTTTTCACAAATAATTCAGGAACTGGGCCCAGTGGTTCAGCTCTGTCTTTCCAGCTGCTAGGGTGCCTAAGGCAGGAGACTCACAAATTCAAGGACAGCCCAGGTAACTTAAAAAACAAAAATAAATAAAATAGCGGGGGGGGGGGTAGAGAGATGGCTCAGCAGTTAAGAGCACTGACTGCAGCCAGGGTTGGTGGCGCACGCCTTTAATCCCAGCACTCGGGAGGCAGAGGCAGGTGGATCTCTGTGAGTTTGAGACCAGCCTGGTTTACTGAGGGAGTTCCAGGACAGGTTCCAGAGAAACCCTGTCTCGAAAAACAAAGAAAGAAAAAAAAAAAAGCACTGACTGCTCTTCCAGAGGACCTGGGTTCAATTCCCAGCACCCACATGGCAGATCATCACTATCTGTAACTCCAATATCTGACACCCTCACACAGACATACATGTAGGCAAAGCACCAATGCAAATAAAATAAATCATTTAAAAAAATAAAAAGAGAGCCGGGCAGTGGTGGCGCATGCCTTTAATACCAGCACTCCGGAGGCAGAGGCAGGCGGATCTTTGTGAGTTTGAAGTCAGTCTGGTCTACAGAGTGAGTGCCAGGACAGCCTCCAAAGCCACAGAGAAACCCTGTCTTGAAAAGCAAAACAAAATAAATAAATAAATAAAATAAAAAGAGAGCTGGAAATACAGCTTAGTGATTAGAGTTCTTGCTTAACATATGTGAGAGGCTGGGGGAAGGTAACATGATCTGAGAAACTGGTCATTTGAAAGCAGGCTCTTGAGAGCCAGGAGTGACCTGTACTGCAATTCCATAGTTTCAGGATAGCTTGGACCATGCAGCAAGATCCTGTTAAACAGGAAAGAGGCAGGGGAGGCGGCTGCAGAGATGGCTCAGCGGTTAAAAGCAAATTTGCTGGTCTTGCAGAAGACCCAGGTTCTGTTTCCAGAACCCGTGTAGCTGTTTACAACTGTAACTCCAGTTCCAAAGGATCCGGCGCCCTCTTCTGGCCAGGTATGCATGCAGCGCATAGACATAACATGCAGGCAAAACACTTACTATATGGGGTGTGTGGGGTAAAAAAAAAAAAACCACTATATATATATATGTATATATATGACTTATTTATTTGTTATGTATAATGTATACAGTGTTCTGTCTGCATGTATGCCTGCAGGCCAGAAGAGGGCACCAGCCTTGGCAGCTAAGGTGACTATGCTTAGCCATGGATAGGACACACCATCTGGGCTCCAATCCAGTCTTAGCCATTAGGGACTTCCAGGGACATTGAGGAAATTAACAAGCCTTTTGTGGACTTGGCCATCTCCCTTGGGAATTCAGGTGTGCTGGTTAGTTTTTGTCAATTTGATACAAACTAAAGACTCCTGGCAAGAAGAAATCCCAGTGGAGAAATGGCCTCTATTAGATTGGCCTTCAGGCATGTCTATGGGGCATTTTCTTGATTGACAGCTGATGTGGGAAGGCCCCGCCCACTGTGTGGTGTGCCAGCCTTGGGTGGTGGTCCTGAGTGCTATAAGAAAGTTGGTTGACGATGAGCTGGGGAAGGAAGAGCAAGCCAGTAAACATCCTTCCTTTCTAATCTCTGCTTCAGTTCCCTCTCCGGTTCCATTTGCATTTCTGCCCTGACTTCGCCCACTGATGAGCTTTGATGCAGAAGTAGAAACCAAACAAACCCTTTCTTTCCAGGTTGGTGTTTTGTCACAGCAGCAGAAGGCAAACCAGAACACAAGTTCCCGATTCGGGCTCCACCCGAGCCTCTGGTTTTCCGAGGATTTCCAGTGATGTCTTATTTGTTTTCTTGTGTTCTTCATGGGAAATCTCTGTGTTTCAAAGTGGAGTTGGACTGGGTTTGTGTTGGCTTTTGTTTGTTTCTTTGTTTGTTTTTTGTTTTTACTTCCCAGATTGCTTGAAGGCAAGCAAGGAACCCTGTGTAAGCAGAGGCTGAAGCTCAGATATTGCTCTCTAACTAGCATTCCTGTGTCCTGCTGCTTGTTCTGCGTTGGCCCTGATGGGATGCAGGGACTACAGGACGGAAGAGCTCGGCCCAAAGCAGACACAGAGTTGAGCATGGGGGGGGGCCCATGCCCTGAGGCTCATGCGAAGTGGGAATTTATTTCCCCAGCACAGTTAGGCTGGCCCAGGGACATTCTCTCCTTCCTCTTTGACTCCTAAACTGGGGACAGGCAAAGAGACAGGAGACACTGGGAAATGGGAGCAGGACTGGAGAGGCACAGGGTCTCTGGTTTCCTCCAGCACTCTGGTCCATGCCGCGAGCTTGGCATTTCCACTGAGCACCGGCTGTATGAATTGTATAACATCTACTCTGCCGAAATGATATCCAAAAGTTACTGTTTTGTCCACCAAGTGTCTCCCTGAGGATGAAGTCAACCAGTGAAAGGCATCTCAGAGAAGAGTCTCCTCAACAAACCAGCAGGACACACGGTTTGAGTTTTAGGTTCCCCAGCGTCAGTCAGTTATAAGTATCTACAATAAGCCACAGCTCACTGCATTGGAACATTTCATTCAAGAGTCTGGTTCAAAGCCGCGCGTTGGTGGCTCACGCCTTTAATCCCAGCACTCTGGAGGCAGAGGCAGGCGGATCTCTGTGAGTTTGAGACCAGCCTGGTCTACAAGAGCTAGTTCTGGGACAGCCTCCAAAGCCACAGAGAAACCCTGTCTCAAAAAAACAAAAATAAGCTGGGCGTTGGTGGCGAATGCCTTTAATCCCAGCAGAGAAACCCTGCCTCAAAAAAAAAAAAAAACCAGAAAAAAGAAACTTTTTGGTCCTGTGAAACAAACTGTGTAGGTCCGTACAAAAACAACTGTGGGGCTGGAGAGATGACTCAACCATAAAGAGTGCTTGCCGTGTTTGCAGAGGACCCAAGTTTGGTTCTCAGCACCCATATCAGGCAGCTCACAACCATCTGTAACTCCAGATCCAAGAGATCCAACACCCTCTTCTGGGTCTCTTGGATACTTATACTCATGTGAACACATACATGGACACAGTCAAATAGACACAATCAAAAATAAAATAAAATAATTGAAAAAAACCAACAGTGTTACAAGGCTGAGAAGATAGCTCTATCAGTAAAATACTTGCATTTCGATCACGAGGACCTCAGTTAAACCCCTAGAATTCATGTGAAAAACCCAGGTGAGGGCTGGTGAGGTGGCCCAGTGGGTGAATGCTCTTGCCTGTGAGCCGGATGACCTGAGTTTGACCCCAGGACCCACATGGTGGGAGAAGAGAAACAATTCCCACAGACTGTCCTCTGATCTCACACAAGCTCCCCCATATGAGGCACACAAAAGAAATAAAATGTAATAAAAGAGGGGTGCTGGAGATATGACTCAGTAGTTAAGAGCACATGCTGCTCTTCCAGAAGACATGGTTCAGTTCCCAGCACCCACATAGTGGTTCACAACCATTTGTAACTCCAGTTCCAGGGGATCCCATGCCCACTCAGGAATACACATGGTACATATTCATAATGCAATCCAAACACACACACACATATTGAAATATACATATTTAAAATAAATAATAAAAATAAGGAAAGGTGTAGGGGTGGGCATTTGTAATACCAGCCCTGGGTAGGATCCTTGGAGCCTGCTGGCCAGCCAGACTAGCCTAATTGATGAGTGACAGACCAATGAGAGACGCTATCTCAAAGCAGCAGAAGACACATACAAAGTTGTCCTCTGGCTTCCACAGGCACGCACACACACGCTTATACACACAAACGTACAAACCACCACCACCAACAACAACAACAAAATACAAAGCTGTGACCACAGCCCTAGGCACGCTGGGGGAACCAACCATAGTCTTTCACCCTCAGTTCCAGAAGGCCAGTTCTCCGTCACGTCTCAGCTTCCATGTTTCGCTTTTAAGGATCTATTTGTTTTTATGTGTCTTCGTTTTTGCCTGCAGGCATGTATGTTTGTGCGCCACATGCATGCGGGATGCAGAGAGGGTATGAGATCCCTTGGAACTGGAATTGTGAATGTGAGCCACCAGGCGGGTGCTGGGAGCCAACCCTGGTCCTCTGGAAGAGCAACAGTGCTCCTTAACGGCTGAGCCGGCTCTCAGCCCCAGCTCTTGTAGTTTTTATTTACTCTTCCAATTCAAGGCCAGTTGTACTCCTTGCTAGTCATGTGAGACACCCCCACATTCCCCATGGTGACCACTGGCCCTCTTCTCCCCCCCAGTCAATGCCTGTGGTTGAATCTGCCGACCACAGGAGTGGGGCTGACTGCCGGCTGCCGGCTGTGGTTTCATCGCAATTCCCAGATCACGTCTGCTTTGAGTGCCTGAGTTGAAGAACTTGTAGAAGGGTGGAAAGGACCAGAACTCACTCTTGCTTTCTTCATAGCAAGTCAAGAGTCCCAGATGCCCCTTGTCACCAGGTACTTGGGCCTCTATTTCCCCAGCCAAGGTGCAGATCCACATCTATTGCACAAACTCAGCAATCATCCATTCTGCATAGCTCTCAATAGGCTTCAGATATTATAAATGGAGCCACAACCTGAATACCTTTGAACTTCAAACTTGCTATGTTCTTTTCATGCTTGAAACCACGAAAAGTTTTTTGTTTCTAAGTTTCAAACTTTCTTATACGTCCTCTCAAGTTCACAGGCCCCGATTCCTGAGTTGAGCAGGATGTACTTCACACAGCCCAAGAACATTCTGTTACTGCCCATGAGAAGTTTGGTATAAAGGTCACAGATCAGCACTGTTCACAACACTGATCACAAAGGACTGCTGATAGATAGAAGGATAAATGGATGTGATCTATACATACACACCAAAACACAGGGCACAATGCTGGATAAATCAGGTAGTCACAGAAGGCAAATACTGTATGACTCCACTTATATGAGGGCCTGGAGTCATCAGCTCTATTGAGACAGACGGCAGAGTGGTGCCAGGGCCTCGAAAGGCAGTGTTTAATGGGAAGAGATGCTCTGTGGGGGATGGAGGGCTTTTAGGGGACTGTTGAGATCAGGCTACACTCTATTAAGTTATTCCATATTGTACAAAATGGTTTTTTTCAGGCTGTGCATTGCCCTAGAAGAAGCCATCTTACAATTAATTTTTCACTCTGTTTGAGATGATTGCAACTGCTGGGTAGAGTATCTCCTCTTTCCTGCCAGGTTCCACCCACCCAGGACAGACAGATACGACTTCTTCCTGGAGCCGGGGGAGACTTTGATTCTGCCGAGTACCCGGTGGTCCTACCTCCTTGCCTCAGATCCGCTCGCTCCTCTGTGCAGAGTGAAAGCAGCCAAACTGCAGTTTCCAGAACGCCTTGAAGCAGAGGTTACAGGTTAGCCAAGGAAATAGCTCTCTAGTCTCTGAGCTGTAACTCTGCTCGCCTCTGCTTCCTGCCCCACCCTCAGCACAGGACCTCAATGCATGGATATGGCCTACCACAGCTTCCCCGAGGTCAGGACCAACCAATAACGGCCAAACACACCCCTGGTGGGTGATGTAGGACACCGGCTCCTGGTGGACCACCCCTCCCCAGGACAACAACTCCTTAGGCACCTAGAGTCCCCCTAGTTCAACTCCCAAGATTCCACTGTCAGGTTCCTGTGTCTGGTACTGACTCTACCTCTGAATAATAGTCTCAGGGTGTTCTCATTTATCAATGCTTCTGTCTGTTCTAGAATGTGTGGGCTATTCATTCACCTGAGGGTTTTTTTTCTTGTGTGTGTGTGTGTGTGTGCGTGCGCGCGCACACACGCGTGTGTGGTTCTGGGGACTGAACCCAGGGGCTCACAAACATTAGGCAAGTGTTCCACCAACTTCTTGTCACTTCTTTTTTTTTTTTTTCTTTCGAGACACGGTTTCTTTGTGTAGCCCTAGCTGTCCTGGAACTAGCTCTTGTAGACCAGGCTGGTCTCAAATTCACAGAGATCTGCGTACCTCTGCCTCGCCAGTGCTGGGATTAAAGGCGTGCGCCACCAATGCCCGGCTTCTTGTCACTTCTTTATGATTGACTGTGTCAGGTACTTATCATCCTCCTGTCTCAGCCTCCCCAGTGGTGGGATTACTGATTTTGTACCACCATGCTCAGCCTTAGGCAAATTGAATCAGGCTTAAATCAGTTGAGAGAGGATGACTCACAAATCATGGCACCAAGATCAGTGGAGGTCCTTGGTAGAAAACAAGAGGCATGTAATCAGCTTGACGATTTCAGGTGGTGAGGTCCTGTCCAGAAGGGATCTGGGCAATTAATGGTCTGAGATAGGCTAAGGCCCAGCCTTTAGTTGCAAAACATTCTCTAAAATTATGCATTCTGTTGTACCAAACAGTTCAAATATGCACATGTTTCCCCAGCTGTACTATTAACAACAGCAAAGAGATTGGGGGCAACCTACATGTCCAGGATGGAATTATTTCTGGCCTCACTCTGAAGTACTAGCACAAGATAAAGTCAGACATAAATGTTGCATCTCCCAGAAAAACCCATCGAGACATGAAGACTCGTACGGGGCAGAGTTTAGGATGGGGAACAGGAATAGCTGCTTCAGGAGTGGGAGTTTTATTTTGGGGGTGGAAAACATGTTTTGTGTTGTCCAGTGAAGGGAACTGCACAACATTCAGCATGTACTGGACTCACTGGATTGTTTATATGCTAAGTGCATCGTGTTTCCGTGAAAGAAGACGGCTTAGCATCATCTCTCCGTGACAAAGTAAGGCATTTGGTATTTGCTTCAAATAACCTGGGCACAGGGGAGACCAAATCAGTTACCAGGAAACAATTTTGGTTTGAGAAAATGGAGGGTGAGAAATGGAATTACAGCACAATGCCTTCAGCGTCCCCACTCCTCCAGGGTGGGGTCCTGTCCTGAGAGCCTCAAATGTGGAAGTGGCGCTCTTCTTGGAGCTCTCTAGGCGCCCACCTCTCCTCCCTCCTTGGCACCAAGCTGGAGTTGCGACCCACCAACCATCAGGATGCACTCTAAGATGCACTCGGCCACACCTGCAAACTCCATCAGCTTTGAAAGAGGGCTAGACTGCTACTGTCACAATGGGCGGGGCGCGAGGCCACACCCCCGGCCTGCCCAGGAGAGCAGCGGGTGCGAGGCCCTCAGGCAGCTCTGGTGGACCGAGGTGCTTGGGTCATGGCCGCTGCACAGCCGGGGCTTCCCGCTGGGGCGGCCATGGTCCAGCGCTTGGTCCGGGGCTGTTGGTCTGCGTTCTGGGACTACGAGACGCCCAAGGTGATCGTGGTGCGGAACCGGCGCCTGGGGTTCGTGCACCGCACGGTGCAACTGCTCATCCTGCTTTACTTCGTGTGGTGCGCGGGCCGGGGCACGGTGGGCAATTGGGCAGAAAGCGATCCTTAGCGGGGGAGGGGGTTGCATGCGCGGCGGGAGCCCTTAGGGCCCCAGGAGAGGGACGACCTGCTCTTTCCAGGGTTGCCTCCAGAACCGGCACCGCCCTGTTCCTCAGGTACGTATTCATCGTGCAGAAAAGCTACCAGGACAGCGAGACAGGTCCGGAGAGCTCCATCATCACCAAAGTCAAGGGAATCACCATATCGGAGCACAAAGTGTGGGACGTTGAGGAATACGTAAAGCCCCCGGAGGTGCGGCGCTTCCTGCCCCAAACCTGAAGCTCCTCAGCGGTGTAACTAGTCTGAGTGAGCTGACCTGTCCACCGCGCTTTTATTTCTGCACCCAGGGGGGCAGTGTGGTCAGCATCATCACCAGGATGGAAGTCACCCCTTCCCAGACCCTGGGAACATGTCCAGAGGTGAGGCGGGTCGAGGGTGGTCCGGGAAACCCTAGGCCAGTTACAGAGTTTATCCTCTGACCTTCAGTCTCAACTCTAGAGCATGAAGGTTCACAGTTCCGCCTGCCATTCAGATGACGACTGCGTCGCTGGGCAGCTGGACATGCAAGGCAATGGTCAGTGTGCACCAGGGACAGTGGGGAAGACGGCAGTGTGGTATGTGTGTGTGTGTGGTGTTGTGTTAGCCCTGACCGCAGTCGCTTAACCAGTGTTTGCCCTGCAGGGATTCGAACAGGGCACTGTGTACCCTATTACCATGGGGACTCCAAGACCTGTGAGGTGTCAGCTTGGTGCCCGGTGGAGGATGGAACTTCTGAAAAGTATGCAGAGTCCACAGACCCCACTGCTAGTTTCCTTTGTCCTTACTAAGATCAGAAGAGCTTCTGGAAGCAGAGGGGACAGTGTCCCCCTCTCTCCTGGGCTTTGGGGGAAGGGAGAGTAAACCCTGTCTGTACCTTTGCAGCCAGTTTCTAGGTAAAATGGCACCAAATTTCACCATCCTCATCAAGAACAACATCCACTATCCCAAGTTCAAGTTCTCCAAGTGAGTCTGAGGGCCAGAGTAATACCAAGTATAGTGCCTGAGCAGTGTAGAGGCTTTTGTTGGGAACCAGGTGTCTTCTGCCACTCCCTAGGGGCAACATTGCAAGCCAGAAGAACCTGAAGCATTGCACGTTTGATCAGGACTCTGACCCGTACTGTCCCATCTTCAAGCTAGGCTTCATTGTAGAGCAGGCAGGGGAGAACTTCACTGAACTGGCACACAAGGTGAGGGAGGGTGCGGGGACAGCGAAGCTGGGTGCCAGTGTCTGCCCCAGGAAGGGCTTTACTGCAGTTAGATGCATCTTCTCTGTCTTGGCCAGCCTTGGCTGTTTGGGCAGAGCGGAGAAATGTGATCATGGTCTGTGAATGCACCTGCTCAATTATTGACACCTGGTCCCATGGCTGCTGCTAGTACCTCATTGTGCCTTCAAAGCCAGATACTCACTTGTTCCCCGAACCTTTGGCTCTGAGCTGAACCGACTCCCTTTGAGGGTTTTCTGTTCTATATCCCTCACTGCCTCTTGGCTCATTTCTCTGCAGGGTGGTGTCATTGGAGTCATCATCAACTGGAACTGTGACCTGGACTTGTCTGAATCAGAGTGCAACCCCAAATACTCTTTCCGGAGGCTTGACCCCAAGTATGATCCTGCCTCCTCAGGCTACAACTTCAGGTACCTTGTTTTCTGAACGTCTGGGTTCATGACACAGACAGTGATGTCTGCTTTGACTATAGTTCCATCTCCTAAAAAGAGGAAGTTGAGTGTGCACATCCAGTCTGGCAGCTTGGTCACTGCTTTTGGTTTACTCAACCCTAGGTTTGCCAAGTATTACAAGATAAACAGCACCACCACCACCCGAACTCTCATCAAGGCCTATGGGATTCGAATTGATGTTATCGTGCATGGGCAGGTACGCATGGCTGAAGGGTTCCGCCTAGGCCCGAGCTGGCCTAGCTCCATGTCCCTTATAGCCTCTCTCAAGCTCCACTTCTGCCCAGCAGTCCATGATAGTCTAAACTAAATGCGAGCTTGTTCTCTACAGGCAGGGAAATTCAGTCTCATTCCTACTATCATCAATCTGGCCACTGCTCTGACCTCCATTGGGGTGGTAAGAAATCCGCTTGGGGACCTGTGTTGGGTAGGGGGCGTCTGATATGCCCTAACCCAGTGGTGTCTGCTGACTTCAGGGCTCCTTTCTGTGTGACTGGATTTTGCTAACATTCATGAACAAAAACAAGCTCTATAGCCATAAGAAGTTCGACAAGGTGCGTACTCCAAGGCATACCTCAAATAGCTGGCCTGTGACCCTTGCCCTTGTCTTAGGCCAGATCCCTCCCCCACCTAGTCACTACCCCCAGGATCAGTCACCCAGCCCTCCATCAGGCAGAGGGTCAACTTTGGGAGAAGTGGCAGAGTTACCACTGGCTGTCCAGCCTCCTCGGCCTTGTTCCATCTCTGCTCTGACTGAGCAGGTGGTGGACACTCTTGACCTGCATGTGGGACAAAGGCTTCCTGTCCCTGAGCCTTCCCAACAGGACTCCACATCCACGGACCCCAAAGGTTTGGCTCAACTCTGATCTCATCTTCACTAAGCTGCAGGCCTGGATCTGGGAGGGCAGAGACAGTCTCAGCTGCTTTGGCAGCCCTAGGGAGGATTTGCACTTTGCAGTAGTCAAGCATGTCCATGTGCCTGGGAAACAAGAGACAACTGTGTAAGAGGACAGAGCCTTGCACTGGCCAGGCTTACATTCTTCCTCTTCCTAAGGCTTATGGGGAGAACTGGGTTTCTGCCATCTTTGTTCCCAACCAAGCGCCCTGCTTACCTGTCATACTTTTGCACAGCTTTCTGGGACCCAAAAATCTGAGCTAAGCCCTCCTGCTGTATAATTCTAAGCCCTATTTTAGAAGTCATAGCATGCTGAGCCCAATAAACCAGTAATGAGAAGCTTTCTGGTCTCAATTCTTTGAGAATAGCTGTGGACTCAGGAATAGAGA